TCCGATTTCAAAGAAAATCATTATCAGCCGAGACGTTGTCTTTTATGAAGATAAAAGTTGGGATTGGGATACACAATATGTTGCAGCCATCTCATGTGATTTAGAATGGGGAGATAAAGAAGATGTTGTCGAAAATGAAGAACACGAGGATGAGGTTGAAGACACAACGCCAGATGCAGCACAACAGGTACATCATGATTTGGTTAATGAATATAATAATTCCTCTGATTCTATGACAGCAGAAGATACTCCCATGTTGCAACGATCTCGGAGACCACCTTTCTGGATGGCAGACTACGAAACTGGTGCAGAATTCTTTGAAGACAGTCTAGAAGCGAATATGGCTCTATCTGCAGCCGGTGACAATGATCCCACACACTTTGATGCTGCCGTACAGATTTCAAAATGGAGGAAAGCCATGGATGAAGGGATGGAAGCAATAAACAGAAATGACACATGGGAATTAGTGGACTTACCTGACAGTGCCAAAAAGGTTGGTGTGAAGTGGATTTATAAAACCAAATTCAAAGAGAATGGTGAGGTGGATAAATATAAAGCCAGACTTGTAGTAAAGAGGTATGCACAAGAGTATGGGGTAGACTACACTGAAGTATTTGCACCAGTAGCCCGCATGGAGACCATTCGCTTAGTAGTAGCAATTGCACCTCAAAAGGGATGGACACTCTATCAGCTAGATGTGAAGTCTGCATTCTTACATGGAGAACTAGATGAAACCATGTATGTAGACCAACCTTGTGGTTATGAACAAAAAGGGGCTGAGCATAAAGTGTACAAGCTGAAGAAAGCTCTTTACGGACTTAAGCAAGCACCTCGTGCTTGGTATAGCCGCATAGAAGCATATTTTTTGAATGAAGGATTTGAGAAGTGCGACTATGAGTATACTCTCTTTGTGAAGAAAGCAAAAGAAGGTACAATATTAGTTGTTAGTCTTGTTGATGACCTTATCTTTACTGGTAATGATGAGTTGATGTTTGCAAATTTCAAAAGCTCCATGGAACATGAATTTGCCATGACAGATCTTGGTAAAATGAGATATTTTTTGGGTCTTGAAGTTATGCAACGAACAAATGGCATTTTCTTATGTCAAAAGAAATATGCATTAGCAATACTACAGCGGTTTGGAATGGATAAAAGCAATCCAGTTCAAAACCCAATTGTTCCTGGTGCTAAACTCTCAAAGGACAATATTGGTGTTAAGGTGGATAAGACTTACTACAAACAAATTGTGGGAAGTCTTATGTATCTAACCTCCACTCGGCCTGATATGATGTTTGTGATAAGCTTAATTAGCAGGTTCATGGAGAATCCTACTGAGCTACATTTACTGGCAGCTAAAAGAGTCCTGAGATATTTAAGAGGAACAACTGAATTTGGCATTTTCTACAAAAAGGGAGGAAACAGTGAACTTCTTGCTTATACGGACAGTGATTATGCAGGGGATTTGGATGACAGGAAAAGCACTTTGGGTTATGTGTTCTTATTATGTTCAGCTGCCATTTCGTGGTCATCAAAGAAACAACCAATTGTGAGTCTATCAACTACTGAGGCAGAATTTATAGGTGCAGCATCATGTGCTTGTCAAGCTATTTGGCTGAAAAGGGTGTTGGAAAATTGTGTAGAGTGCAAAGCCAAACTACTGTAATTCATTGTGATAGTAGTTCTGCTATTAAGCTATCAAGGAATCCAGTAATGCATGGGCGTTGTAAACATATTGACGTCCGATTTCATTTCCTTCGAAACCTTGTAAAAACTGGAACTATTAAAATGATACATTGTGGGACACAAGAACAAGTGGCTGATATGATGACCAAACCTCTCAAATTGGATACCTTTTTAACACTAAGAAGGTCACTAGGAGTATGTGCTGAATCTGATATAAACTGATTGCTAACATTCAGTTTAAGGGAGGATTTGTTAGTGGTTCCACGTTTTCATATTTCTGTTGCATTAGTTTCAAGTCCACCTCAGTTTTAGGAAGTAGTGCGTTTTATGCGCATAAGTAGTTTATTTGGCAGTTTTCATTTCTCTTATGTACGGCTATAAAATAGCCAAACTTATTCTTCAATAAACATAATGCAGTTTGTTTATTCTGCATTTTCATATCTCTACGTACGGTTACAACAGGACCTTTGTGGAAATGATATTTATGTTTCCTTTATCTATATTGTGATTGAAATATAAGTTATTTGTAGTGTGTGATGTATATTCTTATCGGATATAATTGTATACTATTGAGAGCTTATTATTTCTTTGATGATAATTAATAACTTGTTACGATGACATAGTTTGCAGATTTAGTAATTTAATGATGTTATTCAAGTGGGAGAATGTTAGATTTTCTAACATTAATATTAATATTTATATTAATTTGTAGATTAGCATTATTAAATTATTATAGTTATATTGTTATTAATTATGACATAAAATAAATATGTATAATTATTATTAATTATATAGATTTTGCAATTTGGCTCTTAGTGTGAGTGGCCCGTAATGAGTTGAGTCATTCTATATATTCAGCTCTCATCTGATTAGGTTTATATATAACAGTTGTTCCATTAGATAGCAACTAGTGTAGGATAATAGTAACCAGAGAAGAAAGTAATATATGTTCACTTTAAAACAAGGATTGTTTGTGACTCGTGATTCTCAATAGGTACACATTTAAAGCAATTATTCAATTATATATCGTTGGAATTATATTGAGATATCATGATGGTGTGTTATGTATAATCATTGGTATTTATAATTTTATTTGGAAAATTCTGCATAATGTTGGTGAGTTCTTTCTTGTGCAAAAGCCTGATCTAGTTTTTACTCCCTAATTGTTTGGTTCATCTTGTATACTATTTGGAGCTGAGATTGCAAAGCCTCAAACCCTACCTTTTGCATCTCACTCTTCAGTCTATTGACCTGATCAGAAATTCTTGATAGGACTTCTTTGTTTACAATGGACAGTGCAGCCAGAGACCTTCCAATATCCCTTGTGACTTGTTCAACCTGTTTGACTATGTATCTGCACTTCACCAGTTTGTTAAAACGGCCACGGTTCCTGTATTTTTCAACCAAATTATTTGCCGTTTTGTCATCTGATTGAAGAGACTCCTGAGCAACCCTTGCAGTGGGAGACTTGTTCAATTCCTGAAGTTGTAATTCCTTGAGGAATGATGCAATATCATGCAGGTGTTTTGAAAAGACCTTGAAACTAGTTTATCAATAACAGCATAAATTTCTGTATTAGTTGTTTTCACTACCTAGCTGGTTAGAACAGCCAAAATTATACCTATGGGTATGAGTTCAATCCAACCATGGTACAACGTCTGTACTGAATTTGTACTCAAACCAAGTGACTATTGCCCATATGTTTTGAAGCTAGAACACCAGAGAATTGCTTTTGCTGTTCCTTGCAATCAAACTCCTCTCAATCAATCTTCTTATAGAGCATAAAAGACTGTATATCAGCCCATTAATTAAGACCAGTTAAACTAACAGATACCACATGGGGAATATTTTTGATACCCGTAATATTGAGGTTTTAATAGTAATACTTATTGTAGCAAGCAGCTTGAAAAATCCAGAATCAACTGTATCATTCAATTTAAACTATTGAAAATAGCAATTCCCACGTACAATAACATTAGCAGGAATTCTTGTCTCATCTGATGAAAAATGCAAAATGTAAATCGCAAGTGTAGCTTAAGGACCATGAAATTCATAACAGTGGGCATCAATTTTCTATAAAGGTTTCTACCTTTTCAAACACTATATATTTCTATTTCACTTTCCGGGTGCTTGACACGGTAAGCAGTATAACAGAAATAAGCTGAAGCTGAGAATCAATCCCCAACAGAAACAAACAAAAAATTATAGCTACGATCCAACCATTACAATTCTAACATGCAGAGGACAATGGTGTTCAAATGCCAAGGTAGTACATAGTAAATTGCAAAGAGATAAAGAGAGAGAGCGAAAATAACTTGGAACCTATCAATAAAGATCCAAATTTTCGAGACATAAACAACGCGCTACAACAAATTTTGTCTTTTCCGAGTAATCCAAATCTCAAGACTTTCCTCGCTCCCTTCAAGAGTGAACGAAACACAAAACTCTTACCACTGATTCCTGGGCATTCCTTACTATTATTTATATTAGGAGAGTTAAAAAACAAAAGCGTAGCAACGTACGATCATTTTCAACATAGTATCATTCTCATTCAATTCAATTCAAAATCTACAACCATTTTCCAGTAGAACGATGGGGACAAGGAAGAACCAAAACAAGTGGAGTGTGATGAAGGTACTTAGAGTGTAGTGACGACTTTAAGCAAATCAATGTTTCCAAAGAAAGTTTCGTTTTTATTTCAAGAATTCTATCTTTCAAAAGACAACGCAGTTTCAAAAAATTTCGTTGGGAAAAACAAATAGTGAAGTTCCAGGGAAGTTAATTGCAGTTGAACATGTTAACCTGCTACACTGAACACATTTTCTTATGCAGTGCGTTTTACTAAAGTATCTGTCGTTCATGACTCCCTGCAAACAGACAATTGATTTGTCGTGTGATGACGAAATTATTAATGTTGACTCGTTTGCTTTACACCATACTCGTTTCTCAAGAGGAAGTTTCATCAGAAAAAGACCAAAAACACTAAAAGATACCAACACATGTCCGCTGCACCTTATCAATCACAGGCTCGAATAATTTTCAGATTAGTACCGAATATGGACATTATATTTTACATCACTTTTTCGGCTAGTCCTATTTTATTTTTTCGCACCGCTTTCAAATTTGAATACTTAGAAGAATGTTTAGTACGTTCCTAAATTCAAATTCTAAAAATGATGTAAAAAGAATGACTAGAACAACAAGGGAACCATAACTAGAACATCACATTCTTGTTTTAAGTGTAGTCGAGCTGGTTTCATACCCTTGATTGTGTACAAAAATAACATCAACCACTCAACAAGAAAATATGAATAAAAGCTATAAGATCGCCACAAGCATTTCTTTTTCTTCTTTAGAGTAGTTTGAAAAAACATATTTATTTTGATTTAGAGTAGTTTAGAATTCATTATTTTATTACACATAACAATAAACATATTTACTGTATAACCAGTGATACTAGTACACAACCACACCACAGGGAGCATCAGGCATTGTTCCTTTTCCGAGCCAGCTCCCGTGCCCTCTCCCTTAGTTCCTCCGGTGATGGCGGCCTCGGTGCCTCCGGCGGATATTCAACGTACGACCTCTGTAAAACGATAAGAAGAAAATGTAATTTAGAAGACAGTAACAGATCATAGATAATAACAATTTCAAAATGACTGCATTCACGATCAGAAAGACAAGGAATTCGAAGCCATTAAGTAAACAAAATTTAGCTATATATCAGAAAATTAGGACTTCATTCATAAAAATTTAGCAATCAAAATTTAACTCCAACAACTAATCAACTGTATGTAACTTACTGAATTCTAGCAGTACAATTCAATAACATCTCTAGTTATTATACTTTACTCGCTTAGGAGTACTGAGGAAAAAACTAAAACATTCTTCCTAATACACATTCACTTGTTGGTTAAAATTTATTAAAAATTACAATAATATAAGTAAGAATCATTAAATTAAGGGCAGAACCCACACAGTTTTTTTAATTTTTAAATAAATTTTAAGAAACAATAAGAAATTTGTTTGAGAGAATGTGGTAAAAATGTACTACTAACATTGGATAACTGTCTCTAGACTCAAGCAAAGAGATAAACTTATCAATATATACTTAAAAGTATAAAAATTATGTAATAAAATGAATTAAAGTTCTTCCATGAGTTGATTTTAATTTACCTCAAGAAATTCTATTCCCTTTTCCATGGTGACAAAATTTTATTCATTTTTCATATTAATTTATTTTTGGGCAAAATTGATGGGAAAATGGTTCCATTTGACTTTCTTAGCATAGCATCCAAAGGGATCTATTAGATGAGCAATGATTTTGAAGGTTGTAAAAAAATATCAAAGTGAAAAGATAGGAAGTCCTGAATGAACAGAAATTGTGAAGATTGGAAGCAAAAGAGAGGAAGGCAAGCAATTAAAAAAGGGAATGGATTTAGAAATGAAATGAAATAAATTGAATATCTGAATCTGAATGAAATAAGGGGAGAAATACGTTTCCCATGAACTTGCGGAGGTTGTGGGTGTTGTTGGCGAAAGCGTACATAAGAACGATGGGAACGGTGACGTAAACCCCAAACTTGGCGATCTCTAGAATCCCTTTCGAAGTTCCCAGAGATGACATCTTTCCTTTCCTATTATCCTATCAGCATTCACAAGAGTTAGTTTACTTCAGCAAGCACCGTATTCATATGAGTAAAGAGAGTTTATCTAAATTCTTCACCTTTGCTATCACAAATTCTACCTGAATCAAAAGATCACACAACAGGAGCAGCAGTGGCGGTGCATGGAATGAAAGTTACAGCTAAATGGATTGGGCTTATGCATTTCCATTTGTTGGGTTGGATCCTCTTATTTCAATAATATCCAATAAGTATAATATGCTTTTTATGATTTATTTTAATTTATTAATATTTGTATATTACACAGAGAATTCAATAATTTTATTTAAAATCAATGTACATTTTGAGGTTCACAACATATTGTATTGATTTTGTTCCTTTTTAGAAGAAATATAGTGCACTCAGCTCAACAAATAATTGAATAAGCTATATAAGACCTTGGGAAGAAACTATCCACATTCAAATAGGTAATCCATGAAAGAAAACCAAGATTTTCTTTTCTTCTCAGTTAAAGGTTATTTAACAATAAACTGAATTTTTCATTAATGTTGAGTAGCCATTTGCATGTGTTCCTTGTTTTGTTGGCAAATGTAAAAGCATCGGTTTAATTATTCTGCTAAAAGAACACCTTATTCTAACCAATGAGTTAAATAAGTATGCATTGTTTTAAAGGATGATAACTTCAATCTACAAGGTAGGTTTAAAAAGTCACTTTTAACGTGATATGGTCAAGCAAGTTATTGAAATTAATAAAACTATTAGCGAGTTTCTTACTTACAGTTTTGTCAAGTCTAATAGTAGATGTTTCTAAACATCCCATGGCATAATATGAAATGAGTTTGAGTAGAATTTATATGATTAATGATGTTGGTCGTCATTTAAATTATGTTATCATAGTGATAAATAATTAAACCATGAAGTGGAAAAATAAAACCATGATATTTGCTTTCTACAGAGAAATAATATGTATATGCGCATGAGAAAAAATAGAATCCAAGGATTTTCTACTAATTAAAAAGACAAAATAAGAAAAAAGTAACAAAACAAAGAGGCATCTATTGGTGGGAGGATCAAAATTAAATAACACAATAATATGAATTGCTTTAAAAAGTTTATTGTTAGCAAGTGACTATACATTTTAGACTTGAGTTATGCAAGAGTCTTTGAATCTGAATACTAAATATTTTGTATTGTATTATACATATTTATATATACAAACATATATATATACACAAATACAAAGATAATATACTTACTTCCTAAAGTTTGAGAATTAGAATCAACCAACTAAAAAGAAAAAAAATGCTAAGGAAGAAAAATAATAATTTTCTTAAATTCAAATTTAATTGATTAGATCCAACTCATATCCAATTTTTTTTGGTTTTGTAGATTAAATATCTGGTCTTTCAAAAATCTGGATTTGTAAAATCAATTGGGCTTCAGTTACAGTTTGGGCTTTCAAAATTGAATTTTTTGAACTGAAACTTATTAAAACTTATAAAATTTTAGGAGTCTCATTTTTAATTTAATAAGTTTCACTTTTAATTTTGTAATTTTTAATAAATTTTAACAAATAAAAGAAAGTGCATTACTCACAAAAAAAAAAAAAAAGAATTAAAGTAAAGGCAACTTGTTGTTATACATATCCAACCATCCCAACCATGGCAAGATATGATGAAATGCCAAACCCATCTCAGGCTTAATGTAGGCAACCTTGCATTTTTAATAGGTTGATTTCTTTTGACTTGCTAATCACATAATACAAACTCTAACTATTGTCAAGGCTTTAATTCTAAGGAAATAATAAAGGAATACAACAAAATTGAATTTAAACAACATCTCAGTAGCAAGTAGTTCAGGCTAATTATGCAATTAGTTGAATAATTAATTTTCATATTTTTACCTTTTTAAATCTAATATAAGATGGAGTTGATAGACTTTAAAATTATCTATAAGTAACGAAACTCACATGTTAAAGGTGAGTTTGTGTTTGTTTTTTCAATATTTACAAGTAAAACTTGGATCAAGATTTTTTATGTCAAAGCCCCCCGCCTACATCTTATTGAACGATCAAAATAACATAAAACTGAAATATGATAAAAAAAATTAAAATATTAAGAAAAACAAAGTTCAGTAAATAATATAAGAAATAAATTAAATGAATCCCAACAAATTAAGACATATTTCATTTTTTTTAGAGCGGTTAGGATTTGCATAAGCCATGAGAACTAACATAGCATCAGATTTTACAGTCTCAACAACATGCATCCATGAAATATTGAAAACACATATTTCTTTTAATCCTTTTTATAAGAAATAATTCTCATTCCTTTTTTTATATATAAATATAAGAAATTAGTACACATTTTTAGGTGTATTAATTGTTCAATTCTTTTTATACTTTTATTTATTGTGAGATTTGTGTTAATAAGACTTACATATTTTTTATATAAATTAATATATTTATTCATTTAATATATGAGTTATTAATTTGACCATTTATTCTATGGATATTTTTTGGAATAAACTATAAATTTTTTTATATGTGACTTTTTTTTGTCTTAATGAGTTAATTATTTATTTATTATAAATAATATTAGTGGAAGTGTCATGAACATTCATCCCTTGAATTTATCCTTTAATTATTGAAGATAGACAAATAAGTAATTAAGTTCAACCATCATTGAATCTCCCTACTAAAACTGCATAAAAATAAAGAAAAATTGTGTAACAAATCATGTGTAATATAAATTAAACATTTTACCCAGACAAAATGTCAATATAGGTTTAAGATCACAGAACACGAAATATTTAACTCAAATGTTAGTATGTATCAAGCAAACTTTTTCAATATTGTACTTGTAACATAGAAAAATCTAACAAATAAACGTATTTTGATTCAATGGATAAAAATAAAGAATGTGTGCATTTCTCTTAAATTTTATTTATTCTAAAAAAGAAAATTGTGAACAAAATACTCTTATTATTGGTTAAAATTTATTGAAAATCATAAATTGATGTAGATTTCACTTCTAGTTTAATGTGTCTTGCGTATAATTTTTATTTTTAATAAATTTTAATCAATAATTAAGGCTTCGAGTTAATTTTTGGAGAGAATAAGAAGAAAGGAGAAGACTTATGTAATTATTATCATTATTTTGGAGTTTTTAGATAAGAGTGGAGAGTTTATAATCGTTACAAAACTTTCCTAATTATGTGTTTTATGTTCTCCCAATTTGGTAAATTAACCTTCTTTTGTACATAATTGAATTGATTTGGATCACTTTTGCTATTTGAGTTTTGGAAGCCTTAATTCAATTATCTCAACATAACACATATTTTGACATTATTTAGTATTTGGGTTATAACTTGAGTTTTAAACTTTGTTTTAATGTGATTTTTGCTTTGAAAGAAAGCTAAGAGATAGACTTACAATTCTCATGAAGAAATTAGAGGCTAAATCTTAACATTTAAAGTTAAAATTTAGCCTAGATCATAAGTGAAAGGAGACAAACACAGATTATGACAAAAACATACAATGTTCAAGCCAAATATTGGTCCATAAATATCCAATTGGACTCATTCTAGTAGCATTTGAAAACTAACATTCAGAGTCTTAATCCACCTTCAAGCTACAAAGTCAGATGAACACAAATTCTAGGTCAAAATGAAGGAGTAAGTTATGCATTCATTTTAAGAAATGTGATTATCATTTACGATATCTCTTTCTTTTACTTAGAGTATCTTTTTAATTCCCAAATTCTATGCAATTTGATTTTCTGGATTTGTGTTAGGATTACTTATTATTAGGATTAGGTTAGGATTTTATTAGTTTGATTACTTTCCATTTTTTAAGTTTTAAAAATTCAAAACCTATGAAAGGGGAAAAAGAAGAAGGATAATAGGAGTTTCTTTTTTCTTTGTGTCTTCTTTCAAGTTCCTTAACTTTGGATTTTCGTGCTCTTTCATCTATGAAAGAATAATTTTTGTTATCTAATTTAAAAATCAAGAAAATACAACATACTTGAGAATTAATTTGCAATGTAACACCCCCCATTTTTTATATTTATTAATTTTATTTTATATAATAATTGTTAATGTATGTTGTTTAAAATTAGGAGAGCTGTAAGTGTGTGAGTTGCAGGATCTCTTGTTGTAGCAAGATGTGTCTCACTATAACAAAAAATGAGCGTCACAATTAGGCTTTCTGACACTCTCTTGCTGGAGCGAGAATGTTCTTATTGTAGCTAGAATGACAGACAGCAAAAAAAAATTTTATTTGACTTTTTGCTACAGTGAGAGAAAGACTCACTGTAGCGAGAATGACGCGAGTTGAGGAGTATTTAAGGGTTTTTAAATTGAGAAAGTTGGATTATAATTCAAGTTATAACCTTTCTTCTTTTTTTCCTGTGGCCTCTCTCCTTTTTTTCTTAGAAAATTCTTGAAAAGCTCTAATCTTTCCTTTGATCCAAGCTTGGGAGTTCACTTTTCTTACTCTTTGGTAAGTTCTTGAAGCTTGATTCTCTATTCCTTGGTTATTTTCTTGTTTTTTCTCCTCTAAATAAGATCTCTTATGATATTTAGGAAGAACTCAACCTTTTGAGCAAGATCTTCTCAAAATTCTTCACTAAACTTCCATTTCAAGGTAAAAAGAGCTCTATATTGTTACTAAGAACGTAGTATATTCGTGTTCATGAAAATGTTATGATGTAATGCATGATTGTGAATATATATATGTAATTGAAGCATGTTTTTATAGTGTTTGATGATGTGCATGGTCTTTTTTTTTAGTATATATGTATAATCTAACCTAATAAATTAAAAGATATATATATATATATATATATATATATAAGAGAAGTAATCATATAATCATAATGTAAAACATTAATGTCAAGAAAAACTTAAATACAGCTTATAATTCGCATTTTATTTTATTCTTACAATTTGACATAATATATAGTTTTTGATTGAAAAGTTAATGATCCATTATTTGAATTGCGATTAGATAACTTTCATTACACTATTGATTCAAAATTAGGAAGAAAATAAAAATTAAACACAGTAAGAGAAATGAAATACGAATCAACCCCATCCCTTGCTTATTGAAATCAGCCAGGAATTTGAAGAAAAGAAAATAGCCACTCATGTTCCTCGAATCAGACTATGG